ATACAATGTCACTTTCTCCACCCACCCCCACCCCCAACCCACCCCGCTGTCACTCTCGTTCGCTTCTATTTGCAGAAGCTCGGTTTATGGCATCCGCTTCTTCCACGGACGAAAGTTCCATACCAGGATGGGAGGTGGGCGAGACTAGCTGAGACAAATACGAGCACTATGACACATAAGTGCCCCGTCCGGTGGAATCGATCTCCTAAATCCATGGTTCAGAGTATTGTGTGTGTGTGTGTTGATCTTTTTCGTTAATTTCAAGCCCATCGGTAAACGCTTTTACTTTTACATCAGTGCGTAACATGCGGGGTAGCAACAATGAACTCATCTTGGAAACAACGAAGAAATTCAACTTCAGACTTGTGAGTGGACAATCTGATAAACACCTTGACACGATAGGTGCGGTAATGGATTCAGCGAAAGCTCATCGCCAAGAAGTGTAAGATTCAAGTATGATTCGATCGCAGAGAAATGAATTCATAGACGAGCGACAGAGCTTAGAATGCTACATTTAGCGGGGGCTTTGTGCTATCGGCTGCAGACAACCGTGAATGGGCGGGTATTACCGCAACTGACAAGGCAATTTAAAAAAAACAGAACGGCGTGATATACGTGAATATGGTCTGACACAAAATGAGGTGATTATCGGTATTCCTTCAGGACCTAAGGTTCGAGGTTCGAACCCCTCCCCTATTACTATCACCACTCAATTTTGGCCCTAGGCAGCTTGGTTGTCGCTCGGATAGCGAGACCTTATGTGGTTCGCTAATTCCAGCCCTGGGAATTAGGTTACCGGTTTCTAAAGCTCACCCCAGCAGGAAAATAATTCCGTCTGCTGTTCATCACACAAAAGGTATAATAAAGGGTCATCTACAGGCGGATAGTATGAGTGAGGATGAATCAAGAACAGAAGTAAGGAAGAACACAATCTTGGACAAATGACGAAATTATTTTACGAAACATCCCCGCATCTGACAGAATGATCGCATTCTCACCTCTGGATCCAAGGTAACACATCGTCGGAATGCGGTTTCCGCTTTGGCATACTCGGCCGCTTGCAGGCAACAACAACCGAAAGTGAACCACAGCGAGACCTGGATGAATAAAATTTTTAGAGAAATTATGCACGACAGAAGATGTACAAACACCTACCTGAAGATTATTTATTTGAAGAGACTTGTCGAAATATTCGATTGCTTTCGGATAGTCCTGAAAAGGAAAGAGGAGAAAGTTACCCGTACAGAAGCGGATAATGAGTACGGGAAGAGGATGCGTTGAACTGAAGCAATGACCCCGGTGGGTGAGGCAAATAGACATTTGCTGCTTACCTTGTCCACATACATGTATACCACAGCCAGACTGCGCATGGCTCGGGCCGAACGTTCCCCGGAAACTTCCCACGCTTTCCAATAGTATTCACGATTTTTTGTCACATCGCCAAGTGCGCAATACAATTCCGCAGACTCATCCCCCGCATCCAGTTGGGCTCGAATAGCTTCCTCGGCCTATGTGTGATAAGACGAGATGCAGTAGGAAGGAAACGGGTAAGACAGATTATGTGCAAATGAATTTACACTCAACAGATTGTTTCTTCTCCGGAATAAATATTACCCGAAACAGTTTCCGTTTCACAGATTCATGTAACCTATTAGGACTTTCCTTGCTTTCCTCTCTCTCTTACGGTAACCATAAACGTAACTACTTATCTCCCGCGCTGTGTGCAAAATCGGCTTCCCCTTCCCCCGTGCCAGACGTTTTTCTACTCCTGTTCACCTCCTATCGCTTTATACAAAGCTCAGAATCACTCTAGATTTGGAAACTGCAGTCATGTGTGGGGTGGAGCTTCGCCCACCTCTCTCTTCTTGATCGGGTTCAATGCAAAGCCATTCGTCTCATTCATGATCCGTCCTTGACACGTAACTTGCAGTCACCAGTTCACCGTCGGGCAGTCGCATCTCTATCCTTATTCTATCGAAACTAATTTGGATTTTGCTCTTGTGAACCTTCCGGTTCAGTCCATCTCTCACTTGTTCTTCCACGTAGATCCTACGCAAAAGCGGCTAGCCACCCATTTCAAGTGACTATCTCCAGGTGTGGCATTTCTAGCTTTTGATCATCTTTTCCCCCAAGAACAGCATGACGGTAAAACACTCTCCTTCTTTCAGTCTTCCTTTCAACGTATA